TGTTTACATATGCGTCTGTAACAAACTTATGTAGTTTAGTCCTGGATCGCTACATAGCTGTTGTGAAGCCTCTCAAATACATATTGTTCATGACGCGCAGACGTGTTTCTCAGATGATTTTTATTTCCTGGGCACTTTTAATTCTTATTTTTTTCGATGTTCTCATATGGCTCGTTTTTAACGACAATCGTTCTCTTTTCTTGATTTCCTCTTGGATAATCATGATTTTTTTCGAGTTCCTGCCGTGTTGTGGTCTTATCTTTTGCTTTGGTTTAATGTTTCGTGTAGTTTATAAACACAGTAGAGCCGCTCGTATCCTAACTAAGCAACTCCGCTTTAATCAACGATTTTTGTTCAAAAGCTGGGAGATGTCTGCTGTGAAAGTGATGGGAATAGTTATAGGCCTCTTTACTCTTATTCACACGTTTTCTTTGCGATGCAGTCTAGTACATATCCTGAAGAACAAACAGTCATGTGATGATAAAGAATATAAAATACCTCTCCTCGTTTTCAACTCTGCCATAAACCCTGTTGCTTACGCTTTCTTCAAGAGGAACATAAAAGAGGAGGTGGAAAGACGCATTTGCTGTGTGGTCTTGAAGAAGAGAAATAAGATTGAACCACTTAATGATTCAAGACTTTTTCCAAATTAATAGTTTAGGTCATAACGTCAAACACGCATCTCGTTTGGTACAAAGTAATGTTGTTAAACCATAACAAGATTCACTCTGTAGTGCTTACAATTTATGCAAATCAAACAGATATGCACTATTCCAAGCTAAAATGAAAATGAGATATTGTTTTGACGTCAACTGGGATCAGCTGGTTTTCTAGAAGAAACTGTCTCTAGTAAACGAGAAACTTTTGAACTTCTTTATTAAACTCTTTAACCTTAAAACCGGCTAGAATCTAGGAAATGATCGCTAACCAAATCATTTTTGATGGATAAAAAAATTCTCCTTGTCAGTACCATGGAAAATACAATAGGGAGATATTCATACTAACAGTTAGTGTAGAAGATTAACTCTGATGGGAAGCAAGACCGAATGAGGACAAAGGGCGAGTGTTATTATGATTTAAACAGACAAAATGCAAGAAGAAGGTAAAAATTTTGTGCTAGATATGCAATTTTAATAAAGGCAGACAGCAGCTGATTTGGACTACACCCCTGCAACTAAAATGCGAACGTTTATAAATGCTAAAAGAAAAAGCTGAAGAATAAACTTCTACATCTCCAGTGACAGGTGTATTGTTGTCAGTATTTTGAATTTGTTGTTTTCTAGATCTAAGATGACAAAAGAGGCAGTTATGAACTGTCTACTGATAACTCCTCCCCAAACTGTAGCTATTCTTCTGTTTTCATTTCTCTCATGGCCATTTTTTTACATTTTGAAGTAAAATCAAGTTTTTCGCACGACATGGGAAATTTGTCGCGTATCAGGAAATATGAGCTAATAAATATGCTCTAGCTTTTGTAAGTGTCCTAAAAAAAAAAAATTGCAAAAAATTAAAACATATTACACGGCGTGCACAACTCTTTCAAGCTCTGAAGAATTGCATTATAACTTTCCTATCATCATTTCATCATTATCACATTGAA